TTGGGTGCTGAGACCTTAAATTAACAGATAGGATATCAGAAAAAAGTCCCAGGAGCTGAACGCTCCTGCGTTGAGGTGAATGTCTAAGTCAACGTATTTTTCTGAATTTTAATTGTTCAGTGAACATGTAAATTGAGATTATCGAGAAGTGTATAATCTGTTAAAAGCCCATTGGATCTACCTTGTTTACTTCGGCTAATAAGTATAAAGAGCTTTGATTAGATTAGCTACGTAAGCCATTTTAATCGGAATTGCAACGTCATCTACTATTATCTATTATCGTATCTATTAATAAAGCGAAAAGACTGTGTCCAATTAAGGTCATATAAATGCTCGGTTTATAGATAATTGCGATAAATCAATTAATTGATATACAATATTCTATTTACACTCGTACGTTTAAGAGATAAGATTACATATTTTAGGCATAAATCATAAATCTTAAATGTTAATGCAATATTCATTTTTGGCGTTCCGAGCTCAAATTACACAGTGGCATCGAATAAGCCTATATTTAGACGTTCTTATTTTTGGCATTTACTCGAACTTGCAAGCCTGCTTGTGTTTTGTATTTGCCCAGTCTCGAATTTGGCATTTACTCGAATTTCCAAGCCTGCTTGTGTTTTGCATTTGCCAGTCTGATACGGCACAGATCGGCTTAAAAATGTCGAGAAGGGCAAGTATCTGGCAAAGGGTAACGAGTGGCGCAAGGCTTATCTAACCATTCCAATATTGTGTGGCCGTTAGCCTCTGTCCCGAAAAGAAATCCTTTAATTGAGTGCACACTTAGGCCAAGCAGCAGCAGCAGACGGAGAGGAAAAAAGACACTCACCCACACACACACAGCGCACCAGCACAACCACACACTCGCACACTCACACCAAGCGATGGCAAGGGGGTGGGGGGCTTTCAGAAGTCCTTGCCGGCTGACTGCTGCCTTTTTATGCGCTCTTAGCGCCATTATCCTTTTACGATTATCGCCGCTAAAGCAAAATTGACTGTTTGACGTTCAATTGAAATTTTGCATTAAAGCTCAATGGCTTAACCCCTTCAAATTATGCAATAAGTCCCCAGGACCCCCAGTCCTTCTGAAACTCCGCCATCAGCAACGCAATCCCAAGCTGAGCCCAAGCAGCTTTCAGCTCGCAAATGGTTCAGGGACTCCATGGGGGCAGAAGGCAGGATGTCTGGATGTGGAGCAAGGATTCTCGCCTGCTCTGAGATCCAGAGCAATGCCAACGAAACGGAACGGAACGGAACGGAGCGAGCATCGAATGGCAGCCAATTAGCGCGCATTGCTCATACGCCACGTTTGTCATGGCAGCCAGACTCCCACACATACACTTGCACTCTTCCGCACTCTCTCTCGCACACACACACGCGCACACATGCATACATCGGTAAGAAGCACACACAGTTCGAAAAGTGTATTCCCATTTAATTTACATAGATGTGGTACCCCATTTGAAAATTATATCGGTTTTGGAATGAAAAATATAAGCTTATATACGTTTGAGTATTCGCATATCTGATTAAAATTAAAATAATGCCCACTATCTTATATTTCCTTATGAATTTATTACAATTAATTAACATTTTAAAATGCTTACCGAAAATGTTTCCAAAATAAGAGTTAGTTAGTCCGATCCAACAAACTATTCAATAACTTTAAACACGCTGTCTTTAACATTTCAAGACTTTTTCTTACAAGTTTCATAGAAACGAATTAGTTCACCAATTGTCATGCTACCCACTTTTTTCGAGTGCACTCGCTTTTTCTCTCAGTGAGGGCCCCTCGCATAGCGGAAACGGAAGTTGTAGGGGGATTTTCAATTTGCAATTGAACTGATTCTGATTTTTTGGCTTGCTTCTTTTGCTGGGCGCTCATTTTATGGCTGACTTGGTTTGCCATAGTGGGCGTGCTGGAGGATTGGGAGCCTGGGGGCGGGAGCAGGCGGGCTGCGGAAATGTAATCATCGCAATCCATCGGGTGGGCGGCAAGGGGCGGTGGGCAAGGAGCAGGGGTGGGGGGCGTTGCAGCGAGCGTGGTGGCGACTTGTACATATATACTTACATTTAATTTCCACTAATTGAATCGAAATCGATCTCTCGCTCCCTTGCTGTGGAAAAAAGCCCTTCACAGGGCCTTGACGTTTGCTTTTCCGATTGCCGATTGCGGCTGCCAGAGGTGTGAGCTGGGAAATTCGGTCCGTTTTCCCGTTTTGTCGGGGCGTGGCTGCTTTTGGCGCATTTACAAACTTTTCCTATAAATCAACCAAATTTTTTATAATCTCCTTTGGGTTCCCACCGATGCTCGGCAAAGGATTAACTGCGGCTGGCGTCCGCAGGGAAGCTGGGTTGAACATTTCAGAGCAGGCAGACGATGCACCATTATGGCTTCTAATGAGCAAAACGCGTTGGCGGGTAAATGACTTTTCACCGACTGGAAAATGATTGCGATAAGTTGGGTGCAATTACTACTCGATAATCGCTGTTCGTTGGCGGTTCGGTTCAAAGTGGGTTTCCCCTGCTTGCAAACGTAAGTACTATTTTGATTATAATCATCTAATGGTTTCTTTTCTCTTATAATTCAATGAAATCATAGTTTTATTAAACAGTTTGTAATATCAATTTAAATTCAAATTTAAAAATAATTTTTTAAATTTGAATGCAGATTTTTAGAGAATTGCTCCAGAAACATTTAGAGGTATTCCCCTTCAAAATCCGATTAAGGGAGGCTGAGTTATGGACCTTAGAACTTCAGTCCTTGGACATTTCTGAATTTTTACATAATTATAACATCAGAAAAATCACAAAAATATTAAAAAAAAATAATTTTTTAAATTTGAATGCAGATTGTTAGAGAATTGCTCCAGAAACATTTAGAGGTATGCCACTTCAAAATCCGATTAAGAGAGGCTGAGTTATGGACCTTAGAACTTCAGTCCTTGGACATTTCTGAATTTTTACATAATTACAACATCAAAAAAATCACAAAAATATTAAAAAAAAATAATTTTTTAAATTTGAATGCAGATTGTTAGAGAATTGCTCCAGAAACATTTAGAGGTATGCCACTTCAAAATCCGATTAAGAGAGGTTGAGTTATGGACCTTAGAACTTCAGTCTTTGGACATTTCTGAATTTTTACATAATTACAACATCAGAAAAATCACAAAAATATTAAAAAAAAATAATTTTTTAAATTTGAATGCAGATTGTTAGAGAATTGCTCCAGAAACATTTAGAGGTATGCCACTTCAAAATCCGGTTGAGATAAGTTGAGTAATTGAGTTTTGAACTTCAGCCTTTGGACATTTCTGAATTTTTACATAATTATAACATCAGAAAAATCACAAAAATATTAAAAAAAAATATTTTTTTAAATTTGAATGCAGATTGTTAGAGAATTGCTCCAGAAATATTTAGAGGTATGCCACTTCAAAATCCGATTAAGAGAGGTTGAGTTATGGACCTTAGAACTTCAGTCTTTGGACATTTCTGAATTTTTACATAATTACAACATCAGAAAAATCACAAAAATATTAAAAAAAAATAATTTTTTAAATTTGAATGCAGATTGTTAGAGAATTGCTCCAGAAACATTTAGAGGTATGCCACTTCAAAATCCGATGAAGAGAGGCTGAGTTATGGACCTTAGAACTTTAGTCTTTGGACATTTCTGAATTTTTACATAATTATAACATCAGAAAAATCACAAAAATATTAAAAAAAAATATTTTTTTAAATTTGAATGCAGATTTTTAGAGAATTGCTCCAGAAACATTTAGAGGTATGCCACTTCAAAATCCGGTTGAGATAAGTTGAGTAATTGAGTTTTGAACTTCAGCCTTTGGACATTTCTGAATTTTTACATAATTATAACATCAGAAAAATCACAAAAATATTAAAAAAAAATATTTTTTTAAATTTGAATGCAGATTGTTAGAGAATTGCTCCAGAAATATTTAGAGGTATGCCACTTCAAAATCCGATTAAGGGAGGTTGAGTTATGGAGTTTAGAACTTCAGACTTGGGACATTTCTGAATTTTTACATAATTATAACATCAGAAAAATCACAAAAATATTAAAAAAAAATAATTTTTTAAATTTGAATGCAGATTGTTAGAGAATTGCTCCAGAAACATTTAGAGGTATGCCACTTCAAAATCCGATTAAGAGAGGCTGAGTTATGGACTTTAGAACTTCATTCTTTGGACATTTCTGAATTTGTACATAATTATAACATCAGAAAAATGACAAAAATATTAAAAAAAAATAATTTTTTAAATTTGAATGCAGATTGTTAGAGAATTGCTCCAGAAACATTTAGAGGTATGCCACTTCAAAATCCGATTAAGAGAGGCTGAGTTATCGACCTTAGAACTTCAGTCTTTGGACATTTCTGAATTTTTACATAATTATAACATCAGAAAAATCACAAAAATATTAAAAAAAAATAATTTTTTAAATTTGAATGCAGATATTTAGAGAATTGCTCCAGAAACATTTAGAGGTATGCCACTTCAAAATCCGATTAAGAGAGGCTGAGTTATGGACTTTAGAACTTCAGTCTTTCGACATTTCTGAATTTCTGCAACTTTATAACATCAGAAAAATTACAAAAAAATTAAAAAAAAATAATTTTTTAAATTTGAATGCAGATTTTTAGAGAATTGCTCCAGAAACATTTAGAGGTATTCCACTTCAAAATCCGGTTGAGATAAGTTGAGTAATTGAGTTTAGAACTTCAGCCTTGGGACATTTCCCAATTTTTTTGAGTTTCTACAATTTCATAATATTCTGGAATATCGGTAAAAATTGAGAATAAAAATGCGGATAGACGAACGAAAAGACGGACATGGCCAGTTCAATAGCCGGATCCTGATCAAGAATATAATATATATACATACTTTATATGGTCGGAAACGCTTCCTTCTGCCTGTTACATATTTTTCAACAAATCTAGTATACTGTTTTACTCTACGAGTAACGGGTATAAATATTTCATTGTTTATACAAATTCTAAGACAGGCAATTAATTATTTACTAACAATTTGTAAAATACCTCAATACATGTAATTTTTGATTTAGTCGGTACTAATCACCTTACAACTTCAGTAGTCCTCTGCATTCTCCTCTATCTCCCGGAAAGTTATAAGGATACTGTCATGCAGCTTGTTCATGCTCTCCATGAGAAATGCTTCGCCCAACTTGGGGTCAAGGAACTTCATGGTGGAGAGCTCGTACAGAATTTGAGCGGCTTTTGTCCGGATTAATCCCCAGGTTACCCGGGCCTCATTTTCCGCCGTATTCTGCACCGACAGGATCGCCGCATCGTAAAAGACCATCATGTTCTTCAGCATGCCAACGGTCTTGTAAAAGGGACAGAAGGCATCGTACTGACTGTAGGAGTTTTGCTGCAGGAAGTCGTCCTTCAGCATCTTGGCCACCTCGAGTGTAATCTTGTCCTCCTCGTTCAACGAGGACTTGCCCACCAGTTGGACGATTTCCGCCAGGTCATCCTCCTCCTGCAGCACCTTCTTGGCCTTGGCTCGCAGTTGGGTGAACTCCGGATTGGATTCCTCGTAGTAAGTGTCCAGAGTGCGCATGTACTTGGAGTAGGATTGCAGCCAGTTCACCGATGGAAAGTGCTTCCTTTGAGCCAGCTTCTTGTCCAGACCCCAGAAGACCTGAACGATGCTCAGGGTAGCGGATGTTACGGGATCGGAGAAGTCGCCACCAGGAGGCGACACAGCTCCCACAATGGACACGGAACCCTCACGTTCGGGACTGCCCAGGCACGTCACCAGTCCGGCTCTCTCGTAGAAGGAGGCCAGGCGGGCTCCCAGGTAAGCCGGATAGCCAGCATCGGCAGGCATCTCGGCCAGACGTCCGGAGATCTCTCGCAGTGCCTCCGCCCACCGAGATGTGGAGTCCGCCATCATGGACACATGGAAGCCCATGTCGCGAAAGTATTCCGAGAGGGTGATGCCCGTGTAGATGGAGGCTTCTCGTGCAGCCACCGGCATGTTGGAGGTGTTGGCCACCAGAGCAGTGCGCTTCATAATCGACTCCATGGTGCCGTTGACCTCCACCTCAAGCTGTGGAAAGTCCCGCAGAACCTCAGACATCTCGTTGCCGCGTTCGCCGCAGCCCACGTAGATGATGACATCGGAATTTGAGTACTTGGACAGGGCCTAGGGAATAAGTTGAATAGAATATTTCTCTACCAGAAACTAATTTTACTTATTTAATATATTAACTATTTAATTATTAGGCAATCAGGCTCTAAAAAAGCAGTTTTAAATTAAAAAGGAACAAAATTGAGCAGGAAAACGCCAAGCACAAAAGTAGCATCTCACCTGTGAGATGACGGTCTTGCCACACCCAAACGCTCCCGGAATGGCGGTGGTTCCGCCCTGGACACATGGAAAGAAGGCGTCCAGAACGCGCTGGCCAGTGAGGAGAGGGGAAGTGCTGGGCAGCTTATCCTCCACCGGACGACACTTGCGTACCGGCCACACCTGGAGCATGGTATGCTTGCTGATCTCGTCGTTGAACTCCGTCTCCACGATCACCTCGTCCACGCAGTAGTTTCCGGGCGGGGCCAACCACTTGATGCGGCCCTTGCAGCGGGGCGGCAGCATCAGGCGGTGATCGTGCATCATGCTGTTCTCGAAAACAGATCCGTAGATATCCCCGCCGGTGACCAGAGCATCGATCTTCAATTTTCCGGGTGTGAATTCGTAAGCAATGTTCCTGGGCAGGGAGGGCGTATCGATGCCCTTGGGCACGTATATGGAGTTGGTCAGTTCACTGATCGATCTCAGGGGACGCTGGATACCATCGAAGATGCTGCCCATGATGCCGGGCCCCAACTCCACGGAGAGCGGTTTGCCCGTCTGGTAGACAGGATCGCCCACACTCACACCCGAAGTATCCTCGTACACTTGGATGGTGGCCATGTCGCCCTCCAGGCGAATGATCTCACCAACAAGCTGGGAGTGTCCCACGCGCACCAGCTCGTACATGGCTGCCCCGGCCATCTCCTCGGCATTCACCACAGGACCCGAAACTCCGAAAATGCGACCCCTTTGCGGCTCCTCCTCCTCCTCATCCGATGAATATTTGTGCGTTTCTACCACCTCCTCGACCCCAAAATGCGAGTCCTCATTCAACACGGGATCCGTTGCGATTTGAATGTTCTTTTGCGACTGGTCAGACTCCCTCGCCGAACCGCCTTCCTCATCGACCTTATGGGGTGGGCTCTCCGCCTCGGCTACAGGCTTGCGATTTTGGGTGGCAGGGGGTGCCGGTTTTACTTTACGGTCAGGACGTTGGCACTTGCAGTCCGTACAGGTGCACTTCCTAGCCTGCTGCGCATTTTGGTTAGAGGGTTCCGAGGTGCGGGGTGTGGAGTCCTCGTGACTGGCATCAGTGCTAGTGAAGGAGGTAATCGGCGCAACCCAAGACTTCTTATCCATTTCGTGTAAAAATATACAATTGTTCCACTTGTTAAAATTTGTGCTTATATTGTCAAACAACCAAAGGGGCAGAAGTGTATGGAAAGACTAAGATGATGACTGTTAATGATATAGGATTTTAGACTATTCTTTTCTATATTTTCAGTGTTTTGCTTTTCTACATTGTTCTTAAATGAATTTAGAAATTAAGTTCATGATGAAAAAAGGAAATATTTTAAGTTACAAAATTATTATCTCTTTATCGAGGTGACACATTTAAAATCCATTTTTGCTGCCAGTGAAATGCACTTTCAATTACATTAAATGTATTTGTTGTTGCACTTTATTCGTACATTTAATATTTCATACTTTAAATATTTACATAAATTTAACAAACAAACAGGGAGAAAACATGACTTTTTCACAAATAAACAAGAATTTCCATTCATTAAACAATAATACTATTTATGCATGCATTTGTATTTGTGTCTTTTATGTATGTGTTGTGTGTGTGCGCCAGTGTCCGTGTACTTTTATTCAAGTGTGTTTTGTTGTTGTTGTAAATGGAAGTACATAGCAGGACGTTGTAGTTGTTGTTGCCTTGAGCTGCCCTTCAGGGGGCGGAGGGGGCGTGGTTAGGGGAAGCATTAACCGCAGGCCGGAATGTTTACATCTCTCGCAGGCACCAAGAAGTTGTGGTATTTGTTGGACTTTTGTTTTTCATCGAATGCAGCACGGAATTGCTGGTGTTTGATTAGGCTTTTCGGGTGGTTTTTGACTGCTTTCATTTTTAAACGTTAACTATATAACAAATATAAGATTAGAGTGTAAAAGTAGGGCCAACGCGGTATCTAGTCCTCCAGATTCCTGAAGGCCTGCTGCAGGTCCTCGTGCAGCTGCTCGAAGTCAGCCTTGATCTTGGCCTCACCATCCTTAACAGGGTCCTGAAATTGATTGGAAAATGTGGTTACACAGTCTCAACGAAATAATCACATCTGTATCTGTTGACCCACCTTGAACTTCATGGACGACAGCTGGTACATAATGTTGCCCATAGCCTCACGAATCACGTTCCAGGTGATCTTGTTCTCGGACTGGGCCGTCGACTCCACGGAGTGACGGGCCATGTCGTAGAAGTCGATGATGTTCCTCAGCATGCCCACGGTCTTGTAGAAGGGGCAGAAGCGATCGTACGAGGAGTAGGAGTTCTGCTGCAGGAAATCGTCCTTCAGCAGCTTGGCCACCTCCAGCGTGATCTTGTCGGTCTCGGCCAGAGAGGCCTTGCCGACAAGTTGCACGATCTCAGACAGATCCTCTTCCTCCTGCAGGATCTCCTTGACCTTGGTACGCAGTGGCACGAACTCGGGGAAGTTCTTGTCATAGAAGTCATCCAGGGCACGCATGTACTTGGAGTACGAAATCAGCCAGTTGATCGAGGGGAAGTGCTTGCGCTGGGCCAGCTTCTTGTCGAGACCCCAGAACACCTGTACGATACCCAGAGTGGCGGATGTCACGGGATCGGAGAAGTCACCACCAGGAGGAGACACAGCTCCGACAATGGACACGGATCCCTCGCGCTCGGGGTTACCCAAGCACTTAACGCGACCGGCACGCTCGTAGAAGGAGGCCAGACGAGCTCCCAAGTAGGCTGGGTAGCCGGAATCGGCAGGCATCTCAGCCAGACGGCCAGAAATCTCACGAAGAGCCTCAGCCCAACGGGAGGTGGAATCAGCCATCATGGACACGTTGTAACCCATATCACGGAAGTACTCGGACAAGGTAATACCAGTGTAAATGGAGGCCTCACGAGCAGCCACAGGCATGTTGGAGGTGTTGGCCACCAGGGCAGTACGCTTCATGATGGACTCGGTCACACCGTCGATCTCCACGGACAGCTCGGGGAAGTCACGCAGTACCTCAGACATCTCGTTACCACGCTCACCGCAACCGACGTAGATAATCACATCGGAGTTGGAGTACTTGGACAGGGCCTGCGGGCAAATAAAGGATTCGTCAGGGATTATATTTTTATGACACTTGAGTGTATGGAGGATGCACGGGGCATCGCTTCTTAAACTCTCAATTCAGGTGACGCCTCTCACCTGCGAGATCACAGTCTTGCCGCAACCGAAGGCTCCGGGAATGGCGGTGGTACCACCCTGGACACAGGGGAAGAGCGAGTCGAGGACACGCTGTCCGGTGAGCAGGGGGTGGTTGGCGGGCAGCTTCTCGGTCACGGGACGTGGCTGACGCACTGGCCACACCTGCAACATGGTGTGCTTGGTGATCTCTCCATCGAACTCCGTCTCCAGGACAACATCGTCGACCTTGTAGTTGCCGGAGGGGGCGATGTATCGCACTGTTCCCTTGGCGCGGGGGTTCACAATCATCTTGTGCTTGACCAGGGTGTTCTCATGCACCAGACCGTACAGGTCACCTCCGGTGATGTGGGAGCCGACCTTGACGTTCAGGGGGTTGAACTCCCAGCTGGCCACGCGCGACAAACTGGGCACGTTCACACCCTTGGGGATGTAGATGGACTCGGTCAGCTCGTTAATGTCCTTCAGGGGACGCTGGATACCGTCAAAGATGCTGCCCATGATGCCGGGTCCCAGCTCCACGGAGAGGGGCTTGCCGGTACGCAGCACCGGATCGCCGACAGTCACGCCGGAGGTCTCCTCGTACACCTGGATGGTGGCCATGTCGCCCTCCAGACGGATGATCTCGCCCACCAGCTCGTAGTAGCCGACGCGGACCAACTCGTACATAGCAGATCCAGACATGGCCTCGGCAGTGACGACTGGAATAAAGCGGTTAGTCGGGTTACATTGATGACTACATGATTCTCATCAAGTATTCATAACTCAACCAGCGAAGATGGAACCTATTTCGGCCTTGGTCGGCCTTTTTACTATTAATGATATTGGATTCTTATAAACAAAATGTAGTTATATAACAAAATTGTAAGAAAAACTTAAAATTCATTGAAACATTATTTAATTTTGAAAAATAAAGCCAATAATTAATAGTTGGACACATTTCCAAAGACGCCATTATTAAGCACAGAAGTGTAAATTGTAAATTATCCGCAGAATTAAGGCTTCCAGTTCACGTGTAGAACTTGCATCAACTTTCGGATAGCATGAGTTATGGTTAATCAGTATGGTTAGGTGCTTACCAGGACCGGAGACAGCGAAGACACGTCCATACTTGGACTCACGCTCCTCATCATCGAAACGCTTAAGGTTGGACATTTTGCTTTATTCTGTTTTAACGCCTGCAATGGAGGGAAAATGGGGAGGAAAATGGTAAAGTGCTGGCTGGAAAAGGGCAAAGATAAAGGTGAATATATTCTTATCGCTAATTTCTGGCTTGGCCCTCTGTCAGCTGACAAGGGACAGGTGGATCAGCTCCATTTACAGGTTAAGTTTTTGGAGAGTCCACAGCTCCTGATTTTCCGATTATAGGTTATAAAGTGGTAGGTGGGCAGCTACTGTTTCGATTGATTTAATTATTTTTTTTTAACTCCCCCTCTTAGATTATGCTGCGTAAAACTTGAAAAGCAGAGCTTTCGTTTCACGTGACGGAGCTTTGAAAGTTCGAAAAGGGCAATTTGTCTAACTAATCGCAAAATAAATAAATTAATAGCTGTGAAAACACACGCACGGGTTGGCAAATTCAACGGAGAAATGTAACTGAAACGCTTGTTTTTCAAAATATGCGGGTTTTCATATTTATCAGCAAAGAAAAACAAGAGAGGTGGAGTGGGAGAGAAACTCTCCGCTCTGGCTCTCTCGCTCTCCATTCGAGTTCGAATATTTGACAATTGCTTTTGACGTTGATCACAAGACTACTGTCATTGCCGTCAGCTGACAAATGAAAAAAAAGTGGGTAAGGGAAATGGTAAAAATCTTGGTGCCGCCTTTTCAACTCGCTCGTTCTCCATATTGGATTTTCATTATCGGAGCACGAAAAACTTCCACTTCTGTTTGGAGTTTCGAAACGGGAGAGCAAGCGAGCGCCAGAGAGGCGGCGATCACAAGACCCGCGGTGCGACAGAGATGGAGCGAGCACGGGGAAGGGGGTCAGCTGACAAGGCAAAATAATTTTCCACGCGCAAATTTTCACGTTTTCATACCGCACTTTTTCAAGCTGCCTCGAGAACTAATTGATATTCGGCTTTTTCTGGGATTATCTTACTTAAGTGTGGACTTGTGCTGCACTCATTATCTAACACACTTGCAGTCTGTGTGCGTGTTTTCGCTCTGCGCTTTGATCGCTGCTTCGTCACTTTTTCGGGGCGAATTCAAGACGGATTTCAATGCCGCTTTCTTTTGCTAATTGTTTAGATCGCCCAGAACCGTTTTGCAACCATTATTTATCTTTACTTATTTGCTTTGGGTGGGTGGGTGTGTGTGCTGGTGGGAGGGGGGCTTACTTTGCTGTGTCTTCGCGTTCACCTTGCGAACGTGTGATTGCTGCTTTTCTCCAACAGAACGAACTAAAACCGACTGAGCCGCAGAAATAAAACGTCGACGCTCGCACTTCGAAAAGCTCTCTGCCGCGATTCGATTTCGATTTCGACCCGTGCGATCGCGAGCTTTCCGCGGCGAGCTTGCAAGCGAAGTTGTGAGCTGATATCGAGTGCGAGCGGAGCTTTCGCCAATCGATGTGCGGGAGCGAGACGGAGCGAAACAGAGCTACAGAGCGGGTGGGGTTACACTGGCAAAAGAAGTTCGTGGGTTGATTCTGAAGTTATAGGATTCCTTTCGAGGTTAATAAGATCCGTTCCTTATGAAATAAAAGATTAATCGGGCTATATCAAATTGCACATGCATGTATTTCTAAGGTACATTAGGTATTCTAACTTACTAGGACATGCTTTCTTTATGTTCCTTTTTAAATTAATAGTAAAGCAAACCTCGTATATAACAAGGAAAAAACAGCAAACATACAAATCCATTCAAAAGTTACCTTTACATTTGTATTTTGCATGATGTAAAATGACCTCAATGAAATGGCAATTAATTAATTACACACAC